TATAGTAAGAACGGGTCTCGCTCTTGCTCAGGCTGGGTTTTGAACTCGCTGGGCCATCGGCGAGGCCTCCGCTACTCGGCCCTCCCAGAGTGCCGGACAGGCGTGGGCCCCCGCCCGAGCCAGCAGTTGAGGAACCTGGCGGGGGCTTCAAGGAGGAGGCGTCCGAGTCTGGTGTCTCCCTGTCCTCGGTTGACCCAGAGCCACCGGCGGAGTGCTCGCGGCGCAGCTAATGGGGAAGGTTTTTCGAGCCTCGGGCTGGCCCGGGGCCTTGGTCCGCTGCGGCTTGGGGAGGAGAATCCAGAAATGCCGGCGCGGGGGCTCCGGCTGCGTCGCCGGCATCTGGGGCGCGAGGCAGCGGAGCTCGCTCGAGGCCGGGTTTGGAGGCCTGGCCTGAGGCAGCAAGAGCGCGCCCCGTCTCTACATAAATATCGAAGAAATTAATTGGCCAACTAAATATATATACACAAAAAAGAGCCGAGCGCGTGGAGGCGGCGTGCTGTAGCCCTCAGCCTCTACTCGGGAGGGAGGCTTGAGGCAGGAGGGCTCGCTGAGAGGCTGTAGGAAATTGAGAGGCTGCATGTGAAGCGAGGGCTGACGCCACGGCGCTCATCTAGCGCCGCGGGCGACAGAGCGAGACTCTGTTCTTTAAAAAAAAAAATATATATATGAGTGTATATATGAAAAAAAAAAAAAACAACTGAGCCTCCATTCCCGGCCTCCCAGGCGCGCTCAAATTCCGGGTTAGGTCACGTTCTAGTTGTTTCTTGATCTTGAGGGAGACGGTGACCTCTGACCCCTGGAGGAGCCTTATGGCCTCGCTCAGAGGCCGGCCCTTGAGGCTCGTGCCGTTGATGGCCAGGATGCGGTCCCCGGCGTGCATGGCGCCCGTCCTGGGGAGCGGGCAGAGAGAGAGTCAGAACCCCGCTGGAAAGACAAACGTAATAATAATAATAATAATAAAATAGGCCCACGCCTGTCGTCCCGGCACTCTGGGAGGCCGAGGCGGGAGGATCACGCTCGAGGTCGGGAGTTCGAAACCAGCCTGAGCAAGAGCGAGACCCCGTCTCTACTAAAAACAGAAAGAAATTAATCGGCCAACTAATAAATACAGAAAAAAACGAGCCGGGCGTGGAGGCGCGTGCCTGGAGTCCCAGCTACCCGGGAGGGAGGCCGAGGGGGGAGGCTCGTTGCTGGAGGCCGGGAGTCGGAGGCTGCTGTGAGCGAGGCTGACGCCACGGCGCTCACTCCGGCCCGGGCGACAGAGCGAGACTCGGCCTCAAAAAATAAATAAAATAAAATAACATAACATAAAGCAAGTGTGACCTCCTCGGGTTGCATTAATAGAGGTATCAAGTCTGGAACCGGGGAGGGGATTATCCTCTGCGTGAGTTTTGGGGGTTTTTTTTTTTGAGACAAGAGTCTCGCTCTGTCGCCCGGGCTAGAGTGAGCGCCGTGGCGTCAGCCTCGCTCACAGCAGCCTCCGACTCCCGGCCTCCAGCGATCCTCCC